ATAGACTTACCTCCACGTGGTGCACCCTGGGCAGCATATACTCATACGGCAAAAAGTCTATTAACCAGCAGTTGACTTCTCACTTCAAACTACAATCACCTCACTCTATGCCATATTCGACTATTTCCACAGGACTCACCTCCCCTTTTTTCTACCTTTGTGTTTTTCTCTTACATCTTTGAGACACTCTTCTGTCCCCCCCCCTCTCAACTTTTTTCCAATTTGATGTTCCTGCCCCTCTGTGAAGCCTGAAGTCAACTAAAGGGCTAATGATAACCATCAAGACGCCTGCCATTTGATATAAATAAATATTGGCGACATCCTGGAATAGCTCATTTGTATTTTACTGACTAATCTTTTCGTCAATGTCCCATAAGATGTAATAAATCCGATTCTCCCCATACGCCTTGTTCCCACGATATGGCTAAGGTAGCTGAGTTGATTTTGAGAGCAATCTTAAACTTGGGTGTTTTGAGGTTTTTTCAAATATGGGGAATCATGGGATACAGCAGGTCGTTAAAAAATTATTTTAATTAAGTTAAATTAATGACTGGCGAATTAAGAGCAAAACATGATAAAATTTGAAAAGATAGTCCTTTAGTTGCAAATGGGTCATATAGTTTTCCAAATTTATCTCTTCCTTTAACGGTGAGTGCCAATGTGAGATTTGGGGTAGGTGGGGGCATAGAATAATAAATTAAATAGCGCAAGTATGGCATAGTAACTTTCATAAAAAGCTATTACTACTACCATATATTAAATAGTAGGCATTTTTTCTTGATGGAAACCAGGGCATAGTAAGTTCAATCACAGTCTAAAGGGCGATTTATTATGTTTCCTTTCAATTCCATTAATTTTTGAATGACCAACTGATTCAACAATTTCCATTTGGTATACGAGTATTTCAGCATTTTATGTTCATCTATCCGAAAGCGCTTTCATAACTCAAGTTAAATCTCCGATGCTCTGTTTGATATTTGAGTAATTCAGTTTATTAAAAATCGATAACTCATCGTTAATAAAGATCAGCTGTAACGAACATGCAGTTATGCAGTTTAACATCTACTGAGATTAAGTTACATGAAGAGACAATAATTGAAATAAATGGGAAATTTAGTCAATCGAATATTCCGCCGCTATGTGCCGCCTGACACAAATACGTCTGCAGTGTCTCTAATCCAGGAAAATTTAGAGAAAGAGAAGCTATATCGCCAACAACGCAACTTTGCACGTTTGAGACTTCGTTTATTACGATGGTTAGTTTGGATGGATTTTGCCGGAACTACAACTCTTCACGGACCAGCTCACATTTCCACCACTCGTGGACTGACTCGAATGTTTTATTGCATTGTCGTGATGATCTGTGCTTCTTTATTTTTCTTTCATTGCTATACTCTCCTCCTATTTTATTTTCAATATCCTATCCTCACTGCTATTAAATATGAGAATATGGACTTCCGGTATCCCGATATCACTCTATGTCCACATAGTCCTTTCACAGTTAGTCAACTCTATGAACACAATGAGACAGCGGAGATGATGGAGAAGATTTATACAATGGCAAAAGAGAAATGGTGGAAGAACCTAGATTTACTCAATCTCTCACCGAATGCAAATATAAAGAAAAGCATGCTTGGAGGGTTTTATAGAAATTCGCTGACACTTGGCAAGAGAGTATTCGATCATGTTTTATTCTGTGAAGTGAGTGAAGATTATGTCATGATATTTCTCACTTAATCATAATTTTAATCCAAAACTTTAGTGCTTAGAGTGGCGTTTGTGTTTCAAACCAGTGAGACTGAGATTGGAAAAAAGATCACACAAAGAGTTTTCTTTACGATTCTACGTATGACTATACTATTATTATTAGACTCATAAAAGTTCATTTGATCAAAGATACTTCAATTGCTCGGGAAAGATATTAAGTTGTCCCAAGTACGTCTATGTGGGAGAATTTTAAGTGAGAATAAGCCAACTCAAATAAATTAGGAAGCAAACCAACATTGGCTCTAGTAATGATCCGTGTTTTGCCTCCTTCATGATTTAGGGTTTGGGGTCCAATGAAGTTTCATCAGTCTTATACCCACGCAACTATAGGAAAATATCTTAATAACTGCATGGTAATTAATTAAATATTCTGCATTTCAAGGCAATAAATATTCATAAAAAGAAATTTTCACTGAGACATCGTTAGATGTGCGCCTAATTTAAGTTTGACTTGAAACATGTCAACGTAATTCTATAGAAAGCGGCTTAACTCGAAGACGTGTTGACGGCAGTATTAACTAGAGGTGGAGGTGTGAAATCCAATATGCACCATTGAATATCAACTTCACCTCCGAATAAATAACAGAATCCACTCATAAACTCACTTAACATTCAGGGCCTTAGTTTCTGCTCATCTACTGTCAGTATGGAGAGATAATGTCTTTTTACTTATTCTCTGATGATACTCTGTAGCGGATTGCTACCTTAGTAAAGGCTGACCGACTCAGAAACCTCTATGCAGATTCTCCAACATCTAGCTAGACTCCCAGAACCAGCGGAGATTCTCCTACATCTAGCTAGACTCCCAGAACCAGCTAAACCATAGCCCAGCTATAAAGGAAACAGACGAGTAGCACGGAGAATTCTCCAACATCTAGCTAGACTCCCAGAACCAGCTAAGCTATAGCCCGGCTATAAAGAAAAAAGACGTGTAGCACGGAGCACATTTATTCAGTGGGTATGTTGCGGATAAAGTGTACACTCAGGGAGCTTAATCATGATCAGGATGGCGGATTAGGTTAAACAAACAGAGGTTAATGATTGGTCACTGTACGGTCGCACCTACCAATCCTGGCGTGCAGGCATGCGATGACATGTCCCACAATTCTTTCAATTGATTTAAAAAAACTAGATAAAACTGGCTAACTTATCGATTTTTAGTAATCTTGTTCAAGGTAATATTGTAACCCTTTCACTATGGTAGGATAGTTTTCCATGCTTTGATTGTCATCTTGTTATATCTTATTAATATCGTAGATAGTAGGCGAGATTTCGTTTGGTTTAAACCCTTTCTTAGGTCACTAATATATTCTCAAAATTCTATAAGAAATTAAAGACCTCCATTATTCTCTTGACATCAACTCAGAGGAGTTTGTCAAAGTTCAACTGGAATAATTTTCACAGATTGTGTAGAGATTCACAATTATTGTTATTTAATGGAGACTTCTAATTAATTTCTACAGCATTTCATTTACCATCTTGCAATCGAATTGGAAAGTTGTTCTGTATCCGATGGTGACAATTCAATTCGACATCTATTGATCAAAAATCATGCCTCAATTTTGTAATATTTATTCAAAACAATGATATTTAAAATGGAATGATCAATGAAACAGTCCTTGATTTTCCTGCTTGAACAAAAATTAAATTATTTTACAAACATCGTATCTAGCTCAATGGTGTGGATTGTCTAGACCAGTTTATACTAACCGAGCACCCAGTTTACTACCGCTGTTTTACACTCCGCCTCAAAAGCAATCCCCCATTTCCAGCCGGACCAACCCACGGAGTACAGATCGTGCTACATCGAGGTCTAGCGTACTCACAATCACTTCTCGTAGTTGATGAAAGCGAGCCCTTTCTGGTACAATCCAATGTTCCCGCTGACAACTTAACAGGTCTTGAGACAAATAACTCAACTCCACATCCCAAGGATGGATTTTATATTGCTTTCCATGAACCACGAACCATTCCTAATTACCCACTTCAGGTAAGATTGTTGGTAATGCGAAAGCCTTAATAGATCAAAATCCAAATAGAATCTCCCAAATGGCCTGACATTGAGGTTTGGACAGTTTACACGCATCGGGTTGACCTCATTGGATATGCAATCAATTAATATAAAGCAACGTCCCTGTGTTCCTTCCTCAAAGACGCCCAAAATTCAGCTCACTAGAAATGATCGAATGTCAGAAAGCAACTTCAGGTCTGATAAACGTGAGTAAATCTCACTGTTTATGTCACTATCGTGATAGTCTACCACTGCAATGTTTAATTATAGCTATAGGAAGGCAAATTGAAAATCCAAACGATGGTTATCACTAATAATAAGGATGTTCTTATGGATTGGGCGACATGGGAAATGAGGCACTGATTGGCTAGTCAAAATTTTCTGCAATTCCACTATTCTCTTCCCTTTAGTGAGTATCTAAAGTCAATGGTGGCGATAATACTATAGCTATAGTGATGACGGTAAATCCTATTCGCTTGAATTAAACATATTGGACAATGGTTTCTTTATCTTACGAAGACGCTATAGAGGCTAACAGGGGTGTCTAGAGCAGTTAGATTCGAACCAGAAACCCCGACTACTTTCGATTTTGCTTGTAAGTATTTAAAGATAATAAAACTGGAGAAATATTAGTGGTCCGTAATCAGTGCTGGTGCATAAAATGATTTTGAGTAATAATTATATTAGATGAATAAACAGAGCACTTGTCGATGTTAATAGGTCACATGATACAGAATAGATAAAGTCAAATTAAAGTGGTGTCAGACTGATACCAACACCTCCTGAAAGTATGCTATTGAATCTTCCAATTTGAATAACAATAAAAATTATTTGTATGTATGTATTTTTCATCATAGCAATGGCAGAAGAAACTTTATCGGAGTTTGAGTACACAAAGCAGTCTTGCTTGGCCAATTTTCGACAAATCTTAACAAAGAGACGCTGCGACTGTTTCAGTGAATCCTACTCAATTCCCTACAGTGAGAGGCACGTCGGTTTGAAGTACTGCCTCAGTGTGGACCAGACGACTAGTAATATCATCAAAATGCCCGAGATCATGGCCTGTGTGGAAAAGATTGAAAATATGACTGACGCAGAGGTGAGAGCCAACCACGTTCGTTCTTAGATGTTTACGTTACTGTTATTATGTTGGTATTTATGTTTGCTATGTCTTCAATGATACGTTCAAAGCCAAGATTATGATAGGAAGTGGGGATTAATTACTGGGATGATAAGAAAAAAGTCATATAAGATTGGTGAATTTGAATGAAGTTTTTGAGTAATTTTTGTTTCTTGAGTGTAATGTGTGCCATTTATGCTTTCTATAACGTTGATATCCCAACGGCTGATTAAGAAAACTGCATATTTAAAGAGTTCCGAGGCTACAATCTGCCGTGTCCTTTCGATAATCATATCTCAAGACAATTAGCTGGATTGTCTTTGTGCAAGTAATTGATGCCACGCTTCAAGCTTGAATTCAATTAAGAGTTGTTATGGGAACACTTATTATCCTCAACAGACGCCCTTCTTTCAAGATTGATAGTTCAAGCTGGCCCACTCTTGGCCTTAGTGTAGTGCAAGAGGGGTTAAGCAATTGCAGTTACTTGAGTCTACTTTTCTTAAGCCATAATTGCATATAATTGGGGGGGGGGACAGTAGACGAGAATAAGCTATTGAAGGAATTATCCTAAACTTATTTTGTTGATTTCATTCTGTTTTGTAGACTTGTCACGGCGATTAGTGTCTTCTCCGATAGAGCCTAGTGCTTACGTAATAGTCCATCAGACTAAGGTCATTTTCCACTTCCCAATAAGGTTATTTCAAATGGCAGGCTGTATGACACTTATCATTAGCTGACTTCGGGCTTCACAGAGAGGAAGAACATCTAAGTGAGAAAAAGTGGAGAGGGGGTACAGAAGAGTGATTCAAAGATGTTAAAGAGGCAGACAGACAGACACAAAGGCAGAGAAAAGGTAAGATTAGTACAGAGGAAGTGGTCAGATATGACATACAGTGGGGTCATGGCAATTTGAAGTGAGAAGTCAACTGCCGGTTTATAGACTTTCTGCCGTATGAGAATACGTTGCCCGGGGTGCACCACGTGAAGGTAAGTCTATCGCACCCCTTCCCCAAAAGATTGAATGGACATCAAATCCTGCTGCCCTCATATGTGTTCCTTACTATTAGCTGCCCCCCTCCCATGTGAATACAATCAGATCAGATTGTCATTCTCGCTGTTATCAACATGTGCATGAACACCTATAGCTCCTTAAATATATCGGGAACTCTTTGCATTTAACTATGTGTCCATAAAGAGAATAATGATACTAATAGTGAGTTTACTGGAACAGTGGGAATAATTTTAATGCATTTTCCATTGAAGATTGTGGCCGAGGTTGAGCCGTCAATGCCTGGCGATGGTCTTAGCCTCTGTCCTCTTCGTTGTGATTACCGTGAATTTCATGTCGACCTGCACTACTCTTCCAACTTAAAACAGGACTTCGATGCGGAAAATTTCATTACTTACTTCCAACGAAAGAAAATGGTTGGCGAGAATAGTACTTTAAATTCGCGTATTCATTTGAATGGTTCAAAAATCAACTCATCGGATCTTATTTTTCTCGATATAAGTCCTATTTCCGAGAGCGTAAATCAGGTATAACACTTGCTACTTATAAATTGTTCAGTAGCCAACTTATGTACATAAATAAATGTACTTTTGTAATTTGGTATTTCAGATTATTGAAGATCGTGCTTACTCTTTAATTCAACTGCTCAGCGAATTGGGGGGCGTATCTGGTCTATATGTCGGAATAACCATCTACACAATCGCCGAAGTCATTGATTATGCTGTGCGCTTTCTCATGATTTACATTCCTTACCTGTGGTACCAATTCCGTTACAAAAGACAAAAGAAAATGAATAGAAGTTTCCAGAGATTAATGGAAAATATTCGACAGGGAGAAGAATGAAAACAGCAGAATAATATATTGAATTATTTTTCAATAATTGACTCCCGAAAAGGGAGGATTGAGAGATCTTTGGCTCAATTTTGTCCATAGATAGATCAATAAGACAAAGGATTCGTGGGTTTAACTAAAAAGGTCTATTTGAAAAACGCCACTCTTCGTTGAATGGTCTTTAAAGCGTCTTTTATAACTTCCCTCAAGTCAGAGTAATTTCGAACGGCTTTGGATTACAAATTCTTGAGAAAGGAGCAAATGCATGAAAATCAACACTTCACACCAAGTTGGTAATCAAACGACCCATTTGTTAGCGGTGATTTAGATGAAGTTATGCTAAGTTTCAAACATCACGTGTCCGATAGAGCAATTTATGTTTTTGCCAGACTGGTTAATCACCGATATCACGATTACTGACTTACTAAATTAATGTTGCTCCTTTGCAATTTCATTACTTATTTAATAATTTCTTTATAAGAAATTAACTGATCTGCAACCGCTGCTGAACGAACTAAGAATTTCGCTGTTTAAGCGGATATGAAACTCTGAAACGTATTTAATCACTAAGATTCGATGAGTAAAATTCCCACTCCTCAGTCACGAAACAGAACTAGGAATTATTTCATAAACCGAATATTTAGTTGACAAATTTGAGGTGGGCGATAGACTTGCCTCCAAGTGGTGCACCCAGGGCAACGTATACTCATACGACAAGTCTATTAAACGGCAGTTGACTTCTCAGTTCAACTTACCATGGCCCCTTTCACAGTACTCATCTTACCTTTTCTGCGTTTGTGTCTGTCTGTCTTTTTTACATCTGTGAATCATTATTCTTCCCCACCCCCTCTAGACTTTTTGTCACTTTGATATTCCTCCTAATCTTTGTGAAGCCCGAAGTCAGCTAAAGGGCTAATGATCACTATCAAAACGCCTGCCATTTGAGATAAATAAATAAGTTTTCAAATTTAGATATACATGGAAAAAAATTGCAGCACCTAAAAGTGTCTGCGATTAAATAGCCGGTTAATACTGGCAACTCATCAAACGGGACCACTTCGAGAAGTTTAAAATAAGTCGACTTCAACTAAATTTATTAGAAAATCATATATATATATATGTATAGATGTGTAAACCATAGGGAGACAGTTACTTCTTTACGATCTGAATGACATCATGATGATTGACGGTATTTGAAAGACCAACTCGTTGTGGACTAAACTTGACACTTGTACCCTGAAAAGAATTAAAATCAATTTAAATTTTACTAGAGTACTTTAAGTAGGCCAGTTTATTAAAAAAAATATTGACCTACCCAGACCAATGCATATTTAAAGTTATTGGCAAGTGAACGATGAATGCAGTGGCACTGAAGTAAAATGGAATTTTTAATGGCAAGACACACATACACACACACACACACACACACACTTACCACATGTTCAACATTAGCACCATTTCTTAGGATAATACCCTCATCTAGATCGGGCTTTTCTGAAACAAGCGGAAATGCTGAATAGAGAAGGAATCGCAAGCACACTCAAAATATACTATCACCAACTCACTGCCTTGTTTCTTTGTGTAAATCTGAATGAGATCTAGGTACTCCCACATAACTTTCAATAGGTAATCCAGATTGAGTCCCAAATTACAACTAGAGAGGGAAAGAAGACTTATTGGTTATAAGACATTTACCTTATAACAATTGAATGTGGTTCTCGAGCTAATTTGTCCACTTCTTCCAACGAAATTTGATCGATTTTGTTGTAGACCTTAGGAAAAGGTGCAAACAAGTTAGTATAAATAGGATTACAATACATGCAAATCCACTTGTAAAAAGGGGGTTTCGCAATCTCTAACAGAAGAGCTGCTGTGAATCGCATAGGTAAATAAATACTAATTATCAATTCATTCAAAGCAAGTTGGCCTTTATAAGATTAGAAGTGAGGATAAATCCATGTACTAGCATGGAGACCTCAAACCTTAGCGATAAGGAGCTATGAATGCACGAGTATTTATTTTCGCAAATACTAGGCAATAAATTGGAGAGGCTTCAAATACCGTTCAACACTATTTTATCGCATGATGTTTTTATCTCGATTGCAGTAAATACATGAGACATAAACACAACTCGAAAGTTAAGGAAGGCGGAGTGGAGCGCTTGCGTCCTCATAAAAAGCGGTCCACTCACTTTCACAATAAAATAACGACAATACGTATAAATTACGTGAGCATCATTCATCAGAAAAATGGCACTACCGAAAGAAAGCGAGATAATTATCTATGATTAGAATTTCAATCTACAACATTATTAATAAAGCAAATACCCGAAATAATCGCTGTAGTAGCCTGCCACATTCAAATAAAAATAAGGCACTTTGCTTATAACTGTTGCAAAGAAAAACATAGATATCATTGCGGAAACAATGTAGCTCTCAGGAGATGGGAAGCTGAAATGCCTTTGGAAACCAATAATAACAAATAGAAGACATTCATATGGACACTAGTGTTCAGACAAGAATGACAGTGTACCAAAAAAGCACATACACACGAATTTTAAAATTCAGATCAATACTTGAGAATTGCCACAAAACTAGCTCCGTATAAACTGATCAAAAGTTATTACAATAACATGGGATAAGTCCAAATTCACACTAATAACTTACATAGAGGCACTTCAGATAGACACGATTGCCAACAATCACATCAATGAGCTGGTCCTGTGTGATGTCCTCCCTAATGACTACATCAGCGTTAAATATTTCTACAGAGCAAATATCGCGATTACTTATACGAAGAATATCAACTAAGTTAAGCTACAACAGGAATCACCTACTATATTCATGAAGAATCATTTGCACCATCTTCTCGTTGATATGTGTCAGTGGGCACATAGAGTTGATTTGCATTCCTCCAGCCTTCTTTTGCTGAAAGATCAAATTAAAACATAGCATAAAAAGTATAAAGATTTCATACTTTTGGGGAGATATAAATAAATGATTTGGTTTAATTAATTAACAATTGAGAAAGCTTAACAAATACATATTACAAATTGTATCCACAAACATGCCAATTAAAATTCGTCGCACAATTAAGGTCCAATTATAACCAGAACATAAAATGACGATTGCAATGACAGAATAACGAATATAAAAAAGTATGGAAAAGAAATTTCCATATCAATATATCCTAAATAGCAAAGAAATTATAACCTAATATCCATAAATTCAGGTATGCAACATTAAGTACCGCACTTCATTATGTAATGTCAAGTCTGCTTCATTTCGATGAAATAATACAAGATTCTATATAAAAGATTGAAATCAGCAACAGACCTTGAAATAAACATTGGGTTTTCGTTGATTTAATCGAATTCCAACACTTTCAAGTTCCTTTTCTAGGAGTTGACTAAATATACCACAAAGAAGCAAAATGTTTTATAAATACGCAACGAAAAATAGACGGATAAGATAAGCCCAATTTACCGCTGAATAGAGGGTTTGGTAGCATCGATCATCATAAGGATGAGATCTGCAGTCCGAGCCACGGCAATAACTTGACGACCGCGGCCTTTACCCTCGGCGGCACCTTCGATGATACCGGGAAGATCAAGAAGTTGTATTTTGGCACCCTCATACTATATATTGATAAATTTATAAGAAGCGAAAAAATCACCTCAATAACACCAGGAACACAAGTAAGTGTAGTGAACTCATAGGAAGCGCAAGCACTATTAGCAGATGTGAGGGAATTAAGAAGAGTGGATTTGCCCACTGAAGGAAAACCGATAAGAGCAACCCGAGCGTCACCCGATTTGAGGACTTCAAATCCTTCGCCTTTCTGTGATTTGTCAACCGGTTTCAATAACTCTGCACGGTACTTCGCTAATTTGGCTTTGAGAAGACCCAGGTGGTATTCCGTGGCCTTATTCTTTTGAGTTCGAGCGATTTCTCGTTCAACTTCGGCAATTTTGTCAAGAATACCCATTTTTTATTTAAGTTTGGAAATATTTATTGCAGTTTTATCTATAGAAAGCAAAAATAGTTATTTACGGGAAACATTACCACAGATAAAATATCGACAAAATGCACATTACGTGGAGACAGTTGACACAGTCCCAAGGTAATATTAAATACAATATCAAGTCAATTGTAACATAATTTGCGTTTTTATAACTACATACTTAAATTCAACTTGTTTTTTGCCGAATTTCAAATTAATCGCCTTAGTTTTACATTAGTGTCGACCCGCTTATATATTTAAGTAACTTTATTATCATTCACCTTCCTTAAGGAGACCAAAATGCACTTCATGATTACAACTTGCATTAAAATGATGATTGAACTACTGTAAAATTATAATCGCCGGTAAATACTAAGTTATTTTTGATTAATTATCTTAAATATCATAAAATGATTCTCAATTATTCATGTATTGTGCTCCAAATTGAATCGAAGTGCTATCCCTTGATCAGTACTGAAAGGTAGACGTTGCCGAACAAGGAAGCCAAATAAATTTGGCGAAAATAATATCAGTTGTCGAAATCGAACTATCTTCTGTCTGCTAAGTTATTTCGACATGTACTTTTTTATACCTTCTCTCTAAGTCTTCCTTTCTTAATTATTCGGTAGGTAGAATCTTGAAGCCAGTCCCTCTTAGGAACTAATATATTATCATACTTCTCCAGCTGACCAAAAGTAAATCTAATAAAAGAGTCCCTAATATATTTGCATCACTTCGCTAGACATCAAAGATCACCATAAAATGATAATTATGAATTGGTTAATAGAACAAAGCCGATAAACATTTGATCCTACGTACTCGTACTTCTATTTTCCTCAATTAACACTTCTTTGAATCATCTAACTTATAAAGCGATCTGGAGACTTAAGTGTTACTCTACAGTAAAATTCTGAAAACAACATACAATTATTGAGTTTCTCATATCAAAAAACATATTTCCTTTTCTATATTCTACATTTTGAATTATTCATCTTCGATTTAGTCCACATAAAATAGTACCCACTGTATAAACTCAAATTTGCGAACCTAATTTAATGTGCACTCCAAATAAGAGTATTTATAAATTTACACAATCAGATTAAAAATTCCATTATTGAGATAATACTCGAGGAGACGATTCCCATTCAAGAATCTGTCAGTTACGTCGTACGTGGTTCCAATGGTGTATTAAATTGAGCTTGGAAACATGAATGCTTTTTAATCTTGTAATGAATTGCATTTATTACATAATATAACGTTATAATAATTAAAAACATATTATTCAAAAACGCTTTGATTTATGATTTACGAAGAAAATCCTATAATTGCCTTTATGTACTTTTCGTAGGCTGGCTTGCATTCACATGCTGGCTGACTCCCAACCAATAAGGTCACACTTACTACTTGGTAGGTAAATTACCTTCTACTCTTAAATAATGTTTCTTGGCTGGTTTAATTTACACAAATCTAGATAGTAAGGCTATTTGTCACCCTCTTTTGGAACTTGAATTTCGCTTAACTTAAACAGTTCATCTGTGTGCTTACTTATGAACCTTTTGTGCTTTATCCAGGTCTGTTTTAAGGACGAATCTGGCTGTGGTGCCACCTATGGAGAAAAAAGAGGCTGCCTGTTGGGTGCCAAGAGAAAACTCAGAAGTTTTTGAAGAGAGGGATGTAATTTCTTGCGAGGGTGGAGTTACAGAGGTGTTACTGAAGGAGTTTTTACAATGTATAAGTTTAGAAAAATAAATTGGTCAGTGAACGGTGGGGCTTGACCATGCGTTAATAAATTGGTCAAAGTTTCCTTTTGCGGCTCAAAATAATGTTATCTGACACACATTCAGATGAACACTTTTCGTCATTTCCCAGACCTTAGGAACAAAGAGTTCATCGCAAATTAACTAGGCTTTTTTAGCACACCCATTTCTAACACATAACTTTAACTTAAAAATCGTACACTTCATTGCATTTGTATTTGTATTTCATTACTATTTACCACTTCATGAAGGTTCAATTTCCTTGGAAGTGATAAGCAAACAGCTGACACATTCAAATCTATTTCTGGACATATGTCAGAATATTATTGAAATAAAACGCAAAGGTAAGGAGAAAAAGTGATTCATTTGGTGAGAGGAAGGAAAATAATTTCCAAAGGAAACAATATTTATTTATTTATATTAAAAGGCAGGCGTTTTGATAGTTATCATTAGCCCTGGAGCTGACTTCGGGGTTTTGATAGTTATCATTAGCCCTGGAGCTGACTTCGGGGCTTCACAGAGAGTAGAAGGAATATCAAAGTGAAAAAAGTTGAGAGGGTGAACAGAAGAGTGATTCACAAATGTAAAAGAGACAGACGGACACAAAGGCATAAACAAGGTAAGATGAGTACTGTGGAAGGGGTCAAATATGACATACAGTGGAGTGATGGTAGTTTGAGGTCAGAAGTCAACTGCCGATTAATAGACTTTTTGCCATATGAGTATACGTTCCCCAGGGTGCACCACGTGGAGGTAAGTCTATTGCGCACCCCAAGGAAACAATATAAATTACAAGAAAATAGCCTTTTTCCTGAAGGAGAGGATAATAATTTCCTTAACTTTGGCGTTACTTATTTGACTTATTTCACGAAAATAGGATTTCCGTTTCTGAATTCAAACGAAATGTAGCCTCAAATAGCTATATAAGAGAAGTAATGGAAATTTCTGCTAACATTTAACCTGACAAAATTCTATTAGTATTTACAGTAATTGAAACCCAAAAGGACCTTCAAAGTTCATCGATGACTGAGAGTATCGTTCTTTTGGGAGTCTGAAGACGTTTATATTCCCAAGAACATATGAAATCGTTGTCACGGCATGAATTTGGGAAATTAACGATTTGTATTAAAGGACGATGATAGATGAACTCTTTGTTTTTTTGCATACTTCTCACACGGCAACAGGTCTATAAACGGGCAGTTGACTTCTGACTTCAAACTGTCATGACCGACCGCATGCCATATTCGATCACTTCGCTGTACCCATCATACCTTTTTCTCTACCTCTGTGTTTGCCTCTTTTACATTTATGAAATACTCTTCTTTCCCCCCCCCCCCCAACCCCACTTTTGTGACTTTGATGCTCTACCCCACTTTGAAACCCGAATTCCACCAAAGTGCTAATGATAACTACATAAAGCCTGCAATTTGATATAAATAGTTTTGGAATATATTTTAGCATAATTCGATTTTATTAAATAATTGTACAGTTCAATAGTCCCCATGAGATTCTATTATTACTTTGGTGTTTTGAACTAATTTTTCTTTCAAATTCAAGTTTTTAATTGGAAAAATGTTCACCTCATTAATTCATCCATAAGCACATTAGCATCAATTGAGAATGATTGGTGATTTTTGTTCATATAACTTGAGACAATTTGCTTGTTTACTTTTCGTATTAATCGACCTTACTATAGATTGTAATACATTTTACTTAGTTAATATTCCCAACTCACACACACTCGTAAGCTGATCACTCATGCACAGAACTACCAATTGTGGTATTTGCACACTCAGATTTGGACATATTTGACCACTAGTGGAGAATTCATCGTTGGCTATACTGGTCAACCCCTCATTCAACCAACTATCCCATTTCCACCTTTATATAAGCGCTCTTACCTTGTCAATGGGGACCGTAATTTGAGTTAAGATTCTTCTTCTTTTCACTCGATGGAATTTGAGTTTCTGCAACTCAATAAGGTGAGCGTCTGAGCAAGGCATAAAAGCCTCCCCCCTCCCTAAATGCTTAAAGAGCTTGTTTTATTCACAAGACGCTTTTAAGAGGTACAGTGCAAACGCATGATAACCATACTTTTGACCCATGGTCTCTGTCAGGTTTCTCTATTAATTTTTTACCATACTTTATTTGTGAATGGTAGTTGTCTGTTATTAGCCATTGGTAATTGACCAGCTGCAACAGGCCTTAAGTTCAACAACTACACGTACGGAACGCCACGGCAAGGGTACGTTGTAAGACAAGCAGGTGAGCTGCGGCGGATGCAAACCAATAATCGATATATGGAGGAAGGGAGGGGGATAAGTTGGTAGAGCTCGGTTGGTGTAGGTATTTCAGTCAGCTCAGATACTACTCAATTTCTTCAGTTCTAACTGACCTTTTCATCGCCATAATATTTGCAATTTGTCATGTTTCACTAATGGACTTGCAGGAGAAATACGAATTCAGCGAGGCAACAGTAAAATGCCAAAATGGTAATTGGCAAGCAAGTGTGTGTGATGTTGAAACATCCTTCCAACCCTTAAGGGCATGCGGATAGCATGGGCCAGCCGAGAGAAATAAATTGGAAACACTTAGTCAAGCGCTCATTGCATTGCCTCGCCAACGGTGGGCGAAAAATTGCCAGAAATACAAATTACACCGATTTAATGCGAGGATAGTTCCAAAAAGAAAAAATAAACCATTTTTGAATCGATTATAATGAATTAATGCCTTTCTCCATGTTACTTGTCGAGATAGAGGTGGAGACACTATACATTCCTCGTGGTGTCATCATCTATGACAGACGTGTTGGGCCATTCCGACTTTGAAATCTTGAAGTAAGTCTATTCTGAATGAATGAGGAAAAATTGCCATAGTTATAGTGGTGATTTGGGGCTTTTATTCAATCATAAGGTGAAAAAACTTTTTGTACACTAAATATATCCACAAAGCACTATTTAGTAGTTTGAATAGTGTGTCCCAGTACTGATTGAAATATGGTTTCTTGAAAGTTTCCAAAAAATTACGCTCCAATCGTATTTTCTGTGACAATGCTTTTGGTTTCCATTGTCTGGATTATTTTTTTGTACCGCCATGTCTGCAAGTCCTAATCGTCCTCTTATCATGTTAAATGGCAGTAAACAATTCCCCTTTTACTTGAGTTGATGCATTTCATTTAATCGTACCTCCCTCGCACGTCTGAACACTTGAAGTATCTGCCGATTGGCTCATACTTACTGTTTTTTCTTGGCCACATGACTATCACTCTCCTTCTCTCTCTCGCCCTCTCACTCTGATTTCCATGTGTATTATAATGAAGACATTAACCTGCATTCAACTAATTTGCTGCATCACTTGGCCAATAACCGTTAGTCTTAGTTACTACGATATCTTCAGATAAAAAGACATAGTGCAATGGTATAGATTGCGCATTTGTCTAGTTGGATAACGCGGCCTCTTATCGATCGAGTTCACCTTATGGAAACCCTAATGAGCCATGAATGTTTTAAAGTGCATTTTCTCCACTCACCTACTTCATCAAGCCTGTAAATAACTAATTATTTCTTGAACAACCATTATCTTAAGTCAATTAGTCCAAAGATTTAATTATAGGAAAGAAGATCTTGCCTAAATATCCAAGTATCAAATATAAAAAAATATTTAACTTCATGACTTCTGTGGATTATTTTATTTTAAGATTAACGAGCTCTTATCCAACTAGAAGAAGTATAAAAAATAAAATATTTAAATAAAGATATTAGTGCAAATTATAGCATAAACTTATTGCAACTTAAACCCAAATATATAATTCCTGTTAATGCCAATTATCAATAATTTAATGATAATTGGAGGGTATAGCATGTACTATTTTGTCAGGAGAAAATATAATTATTAATTTCTCGTAATTACATTTTCGCCTACGTGTTCGATGGTATCCCTTGTTTAGAAGTTTTTAAAGTTTTGTTGAATTAGATTAAAGATTAAAGATGTAAAAGCTGATAAACTCAAATTTATTTGGTGAAAAAATTTACAGTTAAAACAATCTGCATTTAAAAAATTGCCAAATGTGTTGTGGCGATAAAAATTTTTGTCAAGAAGAAAAGAGGGGGATTTGTTTACAGTGAAGCAGAGATAAAAGTTGATGGACCATTAAAAAGGGAGATATATCAACTAAAATTGAAAGTTGAATAGAAATCCGTACATTTTAAATTGTGGATGTCTTCAAAAGATAAGCACTTATTGCTGAACGGAAAAATGGCCACTTCTGTCCTGAATTAACTGATGGTAGAACAAATAAGAGGAAAAAATGGGAGAATTTAAAGAAAATCAGAATGTTTCACGTTATTAAACCAAGTGTGAATAAGTTTCGCAATTATGGGAATAATTTACAATTTAAACAAGGAAAAGCAACTAATTATAACGAACAAGCAAGTACTTAGCATCACAGTCATTGTTATCAGTACGCTTTGGCTCAAATGTCTACTCTGTCTAATTGTATGCAAAGTCTATATTAACCCAGGGGCGACTGGAACTGGAAACCACATGATCCTTGAGTTTACTACTGAACGAGCGTTTGAGGATAGTATCAGCCTTGCTGATGTCAGTGAAGGCCAACCACTGCGGCTTCTGATTCGATGCCCGATTGGCGTTGAGTTGTCGCCGCGATAGTATAGTGGTGAGTATCATTGCCTGTCACGTGAAAGACCCGGGGTCAATTTTTGTCCTGCACGATAGATATACCTCCACCTGGTACACCCTGTATAACGTATACCGGCAGTTGTCTTCTGATTTCAAACCACCATGACCTAACCGGTTGACTTATTCGACCACTCTACGGTACTCACCTAACCTTTTTCTAACTTTGTGTCTGTCTTTCTTATATGTGTAAATCACTCTTCTGTTTCCCCACACAGCTCGACATTTTGTGACTTTGACGTTCCTCCTCTCTGTGAAGCCATAAGTTAACTAAAGAGCGAATGATAACTGTCGTAAAGCCTGCCATTTATATAAATATTGGCCCATACCTAACTGTCAATGTGTAATTTCAAATTGACTGCTCGACAAAGAAATGCGGGATAGCTTTCATCCCACTTAAATCCTCCCCCCTCCATCATACATGAACTAGTCTCAATCTCTAACCAACCGGCTTTTCTCCTCTCAGAACAAATACATCCTCTTTTGCTTCAATTTCGCTTTTTATTTCTTCTTCCTCCTTCTTTATAAATTTCCCAGTGTCCGATTCCCAATTATCGGTCTAGCTCCTCTCACTCTGGAAAGGATCTTAGAAACATCACCGGTTCGCTGAGGGATATCAAGTCTACACTGGTCTGACTACTTTAGGCCACTTGTTATAAAATAAGCCACTAAGGCAGTTCTGGTTTTAGATTTCATCTCAAAGGTTCCTTTGATACCCAATTTTTTGATAAACTTCTGATTTGGGCAACGGGCGTGAGCGTGAGCGAATGCCTCAAACAGTGATACACTTGAGCAACTCAAGTGGTAAGTACTTCTTTATCGGGTATCACTTGACTTTTGGTCAGATGAGACAATGGGTCCACGATGACAGCATCCAAGGATGATACAGGTTTGAGCGTGGATACCAGCACAGCTGCTAGTTATCAGGAAGAGACTTTGACATATAGATGTAATTGGCGTCATGCAACAATAATTTGTACATAAGCCTTATTATTTCTTCAATAAATCGAGGTAACTTCACATGCACATCCAAACTGATCCGACAACATGGACAAATTACCTTATACTTCCAATGTGGCCTCAGTCCACACCAACACAGTAAATAGTTCTAGCATAATATTCCTCATTGTTGTTTTCGTACTATTATGTTCTATGTCCAATACTTGCTGACGCACTTGGAAATTTGCACTTCCAAAAAGGCTAATTTAATATCACATTACAAATTAGGTTAACTAGTATTTCTTATTTGCTAATCCCTACGTGAGTGGCATAAAGTCAGATTTCTGATGCCAAATTAGAACTCAAAACATACTTCAACCCTTTTATTTCACAATATTTAAATTTAATTATTTTATTCCTTGCGTTTCAATAGAATTTCTGTTGCCATGGTTACCGTCGTATTGATGTGCCAGCAGTTATTATTATACGAATCAGCTCAACTATTTGTGAAAAGTACTTTCAAGCAGATTGTTTATGGAAGAGACATTAATCTTTTGAGTTGATGAAAACTCAGTCTCTGAGGTAGAAAATTGCAGGTGGGAAAAATAAAAGAGTTCCTGTGTGAACACAGAGAGGAAAATTAATATATCGTATTTATTTAAAAGCAGTGAATACAGATTATTAGGAACAGCAGCATACTGCACATTTAGTAGTTTAAAGCAAACGTTAAAAGTGATTTAAAATTAATCTCCTTTATCTTAGCTGCTTTGTATTTCCACCAACTGGCAAACACACAAACTATTTTGATTGTGCCATGCAACATTACTTACTATAATGAGGCAAGGTAGCGTTAATCTTATCCAATGGAAGTGTGTGGAAAGGCGAAAGAAATAGAAAGGAGGTGGGGGGGGGGGGGGGGGGGGGGGGGTGAAGAGGGAGGAAGAATACAGTTGGTATTAAATGAAGGTAACCCATGTTGCATTGTACTGGAAGAATAAAGACCATAAAGTAAGGGGATACATCTTTGTACAATCAATAAAATCAACTAATCACAACTTCAGTTTGAGTCAGTAATTGCGTAGCACATAACGATGACTAGAAGAATTCACTAGGAAAGTTCATTACTGCAACTGGGGGTTAGAAAATAAGCGTGCGGCAGTTAGTTAGAAACTCACTTAGTAAAAGATTAATTAATTAAACGAATAATGCAAGCGGAGGAACATCACATTCCCTAGTCACCATATTAACTGCAAAAAAAAATAGCGTCATCATTGAGGAAAAGTAAGAATTATATCTCTAGTTGGAATCGAATTAGACATTTTCGTTAAAAATAGAGGATGATTAAGTTGGGATAAAAATAAATTACTAACATTTTTGGCAGTCATTCATTAAATCTGCGTATATTTTAGAGCAAAACAATTGGAAAGGTTATTGATTTGAGTAATTTTAGTGTAAAGCCAAGTTGTAAGGTATTTCCGTGGTATAATTGGCTTTTGATCTTTACGGCTAACTTGGGGCTAGTTAAGTCGCAAAATGTGGGGCGCATAAAGTATTTACCATCTTGGACTATTTCTACAACACCGAAAAAAGCTAAAGGAAACACTGAATCGACCGATTCTTTACAGCATGTTTTAGAGTTTATCCACGAAAGTAGAAATTTGTTTGGAAAAAATGTGGGATTTTAATGCTTCCTAATGTTCGTATTTCTTCAAGATCTACTAAAATTCTTCTCAATTTCCAGTTGGAGCTGATCCTCCTAAGACTCTCCTTACTCCAATTCCTGTTGCGGAGGTCAATGATGACATGAGGTTGAACATTGTAGCCCAGGTCAGCGTCAAATGTAATGAGTCTCAAGCACTCTATTGAAACATCCAGCCATGAAGTCGCTTAAGCAAAGATTGTTTTGAAGCCTCGTTTGTTTAAGTAGCAATCAGTTCTCACATCATCTCTGCTTTCCATTCGAAGAAGGTTTTCATGGTTTTTCTTCCCCAGAATTACTGATCCTTTCACTGTAATCAAATCCTCAAATGTTTTGATCAGGTCTACTGCATTTACTATGCTAAGTGAACGAAATTGGCGGATTTCAAAAGTTACTTCCCCCGAAAATTGATCCAGCTAAACCTGTTTCACTGTCCAATCGAATGGTCATAAATACCTGCACAAAATTCAAGTTTTCGCAGCACTTCCATACCCTCGGGATCTTTTACGGCCTCCAACTAACGTTCTGTTGTCTTCCGTTGACACCAGTTCTGATATTCCAACCTAGAAAACCCCCTTCCAAAATTTAGTTTTTTTTCATATTCAATAATGGCTGAATTTAAACTAACGAAATCTGTTCGAACGATTATTGCGATTAACAGTATGCATTCAATTAGGATATCTTGATCTGTGGACGGTTACCGTTACAATATAGCCCTTCTAATGATATAATTATTTCGTAAGTAGATTTTTGAACTTAACTCATACACTAGGTTTATTGACGAAATCAATGCTAGTAATTTGACAAGAACGTCAGTTACCATGAACCCAACCACTTAGGCTCTTAATCAAGTGTGTGCAAGTTTAAATTGAATTATGCCTAAAATTTGCATTTTGTTATTATGAGATTTTGTTACAAATGCAAGCATGTTTAAACTGAATCTATAAGCGTAAACATGCCACTCTATGCTAATAAACAAATTAGCATAGAATTGCATTTTTATGCAAGTAACAACGATTCCTTGCATTCCGAAATGTTACCATTTTTAATAAATGAGAAAAAATGCTGTCTAGCTAATTGTATAATTTTTATTTATAACCTATTTTCCATATAAGGAATTAACAAACTAGATCCGGGATTTCAGGTCTAGGTGCTATTGAATTAAGCTGTCCACAGTACTATAGGCACTATTGACTCTGAATTGTCACATTAACTATTGCAATACAGACGCAAAATAATTATGGTTAAGATATCAACATAAATGTTTTGTTTCCTTTTACAATATATTCCTAGAAAATAAATTTCTAAGAATTGGAAAAATGTTTGCGAATTAGATTATCCAAGAAGAGTATAAAGTTCATTTTTATACTTTATAACATTATAAAAAACGGGGTGTGCGATAGACTTACCTCCGCATGGTGCACCCTGGGCAACGTGTGCTCATACGTCAAAAAAGTCTACTAAACGGCAGTTGACTTCTGGCTTCAAACTACCATCACCCTACTGTATGCCAAATTGGACTACTTTCACAGTACTCACCTCAACTTTTTTCTACCTTTGCGTTTGTTTCTTTCGCATCTTCGAAACACTCTTCTGTCCCCACCCCACACTCTCGACTTTTTTTCACTTTGATATTCCTTTCCCTCTGTAAAGCCTGAAGTCAACTAAAGGGCTAATGATAACTATCAAGATCCCTGTCATTTGGTATAAATAAATAAACAGACATTATAACAATGCATTCCGAAATGTAACCATTTTTAATAAATGAGAAAAAACGCTGTATTTAGCTAATTTTAGAATTTTTATTTTTAACCTAGAACTTGTTTATCAAAAGAAAGTACATCTATTAATGAACTACCATAACACCCATAACTACATTACTGTTTACAGGTTGAGTATCCTTAGTTCTTACAAAGTCCTGCTTTTAACCAGCCTATTTGCAAACTAAAAAAATATTAAGGATACCGTCACTCCAGTTTGTAACTATACGCAATTTGAGAATTCGGGTTCCTATTTTTGGACTATTTGAGAAGCTTTCCTTGAGACGCCCTGAATCGAGTACGACTAAGTTCTTATCTCAGTTGTCAAGTGTGTCTGCCGGGACATGAATCCACCCAAAAACCAAGGATTGAATTTCTCAAGTTTATGAACATTTGGACAAGATGCTGTCTACTATGCTAATTACACAAAGGTGGGGTGACGCAAGATTCTACATTTTCTCTCTCCATATTCTCTGTGTCTGCTCTACTCTCAACTTACTTATCCCAAGATAAGCACTTTAGCTTGTTCCTGAACCCCATTGGGCAAATAACTAGCAAAAAAATTTTTAATTTCT